CACTCCCCCCAGCACCTCCAATCTACTTTGCGTCTCTGTGAATTGTCTGCTCTGTGTACCTCGAATAATGGAATCATACAGTATTTGTCCTTTTGAGTCTGCCTTCTTTGAATTAATGATGTTTCCAAGGTCCGTCCGCGTTGTAGCATCCATCAGATTTCACTCTTTGGTGGCTGAATACTATTCCGTTGTGTGTACAGACCACATTTTGTCATCCCTTCCCCTGTTGGTGGACACTGGGGCTGTTTCCGCCTTTTGGCTGTGTTCGCCCTCGTTTTGACTGCTGTTATCTCGCGATGGTTCCCACCCACTGTGCTGAAGGTGGCCTGGCACTGGCCTGACAGCTGCCGGTCAAGGCAGAGATAATGGGAACAGCTGGGAAACCCACGGAAACAGTAGGAGGTGGGCGGTTTGTGCACCTGCTCAGAGCAGGTAGGAATGAGGTCAAGGCAACACTTGCGGGTTTGGGACTTGCAGGTCCTATGAATGTTTCCTGGGTGTCTGGGCCAGGAGCAGGGGCCCTCCTGCTGCCCTCCCCGCCTTACCTCTGTTAACAACCAGGCCCCTCACCGCCCCAGGGTTCAGAAGCACCAGCAGTGGAGAGACAGGGGCAGCCACCCAGGGACTCAGCGCCTGGGCCAGAGGGTCCAACTGTACCCTCGTTCTGTTTGGCTTTGTCATTTGGTGTGTGGCTGGAGGCAGGGTCATCCAGAGGCCAGTGCCAGTCGGGCAGACAGCCTGGAATGTCACTCCTTCCCCCAGCACGTTCCTGGGGAGCTGGGGGTAAGGGCCAGGAGTAGGGGCCCCTTCATTGTGGGAACCTGTGCCAGTGGGGGCCCAGTCAGGTGTTCAAGCTGCCTGTCTCCACGGCCTGTTTGCGGAAGGCTCTGGACAAAGCAGGCCCTAGTGACTCACCTCCATTTCCTGTCTTAGTCATTCACCAGCCCTCCCTCCCCCCCTACCGTGGGCTTGGCATCAGAGGACTGGCTGGGTTAGGGGAGGTGGCCCCAGCTGCAGAGCCTGGTTGTCATGGCAACAAGCAGTCCCTTTTCCCAGGGCTGAGGGAGGGGTGGGCCCAGCCATGATGGCACTGCAGTTTCCCCTTGACTGTTCTGTCCCCACCCATCATTTCTCAGGATGAGAGATTCAGAGGTTGCCAAGATGTGGCAGAGGGGAGGATCTGTTGAGTCCCTTAGCCTGGCACATGCCTTGTACACCCGGCTCTTTGGAAAGAGGAGGATTTCACTTCCTTTTCCCAAGCAGGGGGCACCGAAGGGGTACTGACCCAGAGAGCCACATGCTGACCCCAGAGGGGACCATAGCCCACTAAGGAGGGCAGGCTTCTCCTCCTGCCCCTGAGACCCTGATTCTCAGTCATGGTCACCCTCAAAGTCACAAGGTGAGTTTTTTAAAATACAGAAGCCCACTCCCCACCCCACATCTGCTAGGCGAGAATCTCTGGGCAGTGGGGTTTGCAGCCTCCCCCAGGTGATTCCCACGCACGGCAAGGTTTCGAAACCCTGGCCCATGGGCCTCTGCCTTGAACTTGGACAGATGGGGCAGGGCTGGGGTAGAATGCGCTCAGTCCCCATCTGCCCGTCTACCTGCCCCCACCCTGTCAATACTCGCTAGCTGTGAGCCTGGCTCTGCGGTGAGTGCTGTAGGGAGGAAATAAGACCTCATTCTGCCCTCAGCTTTATTAAAATCCCCTGAAATTACATTATAGGTGGGTTTTGTTTTTTCTTTAAGTTAAGAAGTGCTGCTGGTGGTCAGAGAGGGAGAACTCCCATTTGAGGACAAATCAAGGAAGGCTTCCTGGAGGAGGTGGTATCAGAGCTGGTCCTTGAAGTACTCGGATATGAGGAGGAGAAGCCGGGGGAAGGATCCTACAAAGGCTCCAAAGGAGAGCGAGAGGGGAGTTCCAGGGATTTGGACTTGATTCCTTAGGTCGGAGTTTGCAGCTGGGCAAGCAGGAGCCTTGGGAGTGCAAAGCCAAACCCAGTCTTGGGGGCTTGTTAAAATAAAGGGAGGAAGAGAGGCCCACTGATGTGTTGTGTTTTGCCCACACAGTGGCGATGTTTTTTTTTAAATTCGATTTAGTTGCCAAGATTAAAAAATCTGGTGGCTTCACATACAGATCCAGATTCCAGTTCTCTGGAAACTCTGGGCCCTCAGCCCCTCCTGGCTGTCCTCCTTCCAAAGGGCATGCACTCTCCAGTTTGCCTGTTCCTGCCTCTTCTATTGTCCCCTGGCTCATAAACCTTTAGTTATGACTCTTGCAGAGGCATTTCAGAGCAGGGTGTGGCACCATCAGGGCCATCACATGTTCGAGGGGTTAGGGCCAGGGGAGGGCCGAACCTCTTCAAGGATCAGTGTTGGTCACGCCGGAGAGAGCCCTGGATTTTGGATTTTGCAACAGATATTACCGTGGTCTCCATTTTATGGATGGAGAACATGAGGCTGAGAGCAGTCAGGGGTTAGTGCCACCAGAGCCATGTAACTGGAAAGTGACGTCCCCAGCCCCTGAATTTAAATTGTTCTCCTCCTACCTCCACTGCCCAGGGTGGCAGCAGGGAGTGGGAGGAAGGGAGACAAAGGCAGCAGAAGAGCTGGGCAGCGCATGGGCCCAGGGCCAAGGCGCTAGAGCGCCACCTCCAGGGTTTTCTGCCTACGTCCACCACTTCCTCTCTAGGGAATTCTGGCAAGTGACTTAAGCTTCCCCGAGCCTCAGTTTCCTCATCTGTTAATACAAGAGCAGGGCCTGCACGAAGGAGGTGCTTTGTGAGCATTTGCTTTTATTAAGGAAGGTGGACTCTGGCTGGAGAGAGCATGTGGACTGAAGGGTCACAGGGGTTGTGGCAGTGGCCTAGCAAGAGGGATCACCAAATGTCATGGAAGACCTTCCTTTCGGCAGGGCCCCACCAGGGCACAAAGAGGACACCTGGAGATCAGCCAGGCAGGGCTGGTCCTGGAGTCTTTGGCCTGTGACCCTGGAGCCAAGGTGGCCTCTGTTGTCCTCCCATGTCTTTGGGAAAGCAGAAGCCAGGTGCTTGGGTTGCAGCAAGAGAGATCTAGGTTAGATAGTGAGACTACTTTCCTGATGGCCACAGTTTCACATCAAGGGAAAAGGCTGCTGGTGGCAGACTCTGGGCTTGAAGGCTGGAGGCCATGGTGGAGGAGGGTGGCAGAAAGAGCGACCTTTAGTGAGGCCTGAGTCCCAGGCACTGCCTGAAGGGCTGCAGGAACGGCTGCTCAGAACTGGAGAGGGAAAGCCTGTTACTGGCACCCACCCCCACCCCGGGCCCCAAAGCCTAAAGCCGAACCCAGTGATGGTGGCTTGTTACACTAAGGACAGGAAGGGAGGCCTGCGAGGGGCGGGGATGCTCACTGCAAGGTGAAGCCCTGGGTTTGGGAAGCTGGGGGGTGGGAGTAGCAGGTCCCAGGATGGCCTGCAGGGTCAGGCCAGCGCCCTGTCTTCCTGTCACGGTCCTATCCACGACTGGACTTTGAAGTGTTGCCCCAGTTCTTGGGCTCCAGGCTTGGAAGAATCACCAGCCTTGGCCCTGGAGATAGAGAGAGATGACAGACACGCAGCCAGTATGTGTGAAGAAGTTATTGTAAGGAAAGTTTAAGGATGCAAAGCAAAAGTACATTTCCTAAGGGGAATGCGTCTGTCTCCGCCAGTGGAGAAGACATTGTCTACTTCTGTGTTTTTCCTTTTATATGCTAGTAGTTTAGGTAAAGGTTAGTTATAATTATTCATAACTATATGTCACTGTTTGGGGGACTGGATACCTTTCTATGTTTGGACAAGACTGAAAGGCTATGTTTCAGTCGTTCTAAGATGCGTATGGTGGGCAAAGTGCCATTACCTGTTCACGGTGTTGTCGTCTCCATTCTCTGACCGGCTGTCAGTGTTCATGGCCTAATTACCCCATTCTTTAAGACTGAAATAACCATTCCCTCTTTTTCTTTTTTTTTCTTTTTTTTTGATACAGAGTCTCACTGTGTTGCCCGGGCTAGAGTGCCGTGGCGTCACCCTAGCTCACAGCAACCTCAAACTCCTGGGCTCAAGCGATCCTCCTGCCTCGGCCTCCCGAGTAGCTGGGACTACAGGCATGCGCCACCATGCCCGGCTCATTTTTTTCTATATATTTTTTAGTTGTCCAGCTAATTTCTTTCTATTTTTAGTAGAGACGAGGTCTTGCTCTTGCTCAGGCTGGTCTCGAACTCCTGAGCTCAAACGATCCGTCCACCTCAGCCTCCCACCTCTTTTTATTTTTCTGTAACCATTTCCTCCTTATTGTTTTTCTATAACTGCTTTCTCCGTTCTGTTTTTCTGATTTCCATTACTTCTCACTGGTTTTTCTGTCCCTAACACTCCCGCCCGCAGGCCTGACGGAGGACGAGGACGTGCGCGCCATGCTGCGGGGCTCGCGGCTGCGCAAGATCCGCTCGCGCACGTGGCAGCAGGAGCGGCTGTACCGGCTGCAGGAGGACGGCCTGAGCGTGTGGTTCCAGCGGCGCATCCCGCGCGCGCCGTCCAAGCACATCTGTGAGCGGCCGGGCCGGGGGCGCCGGGCGGGGGAGCGCCGGGGACCTCGCGGGCCTGCGGCCACCCTGACCCGCCCTCCCCGCAGTCTTCCTGCAGCACATCGAGGACGTCCGCGAGGGCCACCAGTCCGAGGGCCTGCGGCGCTTCGGGGCCGCCTTCGCGCCGGCACGCTGCCTCACCATCGCCTTCAAGGGCCGCCGCAAGAACCTGGACCTGGCGGCGCCCACGGCCGAGGAGGCGCAGCGCTGGGTGCGCGGCCTGGCCAAGCTGCGCGCGCGCCTCGACGCCATGAGCCAGCGCGAGCGGCTCGACCAATATCCTGCCCGGGCTGGGAGGGAGGGCCCCGTCCTGGGACAGCCCCCAGTCCGAGGGGAGGCATGGCCCCTACCCTTAGCTGGCACAGTCTGAGACGGGGACCGAGGCTGTGGTCTTCACAGTTGACCGTGGGGACACACGTCCTGGCCTGGGCTGAACTCCCACCAGGAGGAGAGGCCAGCCCCTCCTGCCTCTGGGGAGCCCCAGTCCCATTGCTACTGTGCTCAGGGAGTCCACAGGCCAAGGGGAAAGTGCAGCCCCTAACCAGGGAAGAAGCCCCCAGACCAGGTGCCAGTGGCAGGGGAGGGGGGCACCTGTTGCTGGTATTTCCTGAGCACCCACACTTGGATCCACTCCTATCTGCACCGGGCAGACTCCAACCAGGACAGTAAGATGAGCTTCAAGGAGATGAAGAGCCTGCTCAGAATGGTCAACGTGGACATGAATGACATGTACGCCTACCGCCTCTTCAAGGTGGGCCATGGCCTTGAACTTTGGCCCCTGGCCCTGCCACCCTTCTGCCCTCTCCCAACTATCTGAGTCATCGGCTACCTCCTGCCCCAGATTTTTTGGAGGGAGCAGCCTCTCTCTGCAGAATGGCAACATCTGGGCCTAGTTACCCTTTTTCCCTCCCCTGAGGCCACTGGGCCAGGATGGAATTGGGGAATGGCCGTCCAGAACTTCTTTCACCCTCAGGCAGAGCCCAGTGGTAGAGTGGCACCTTCCCACCCCTCCAAAGTGAGCAGCCAAGTTCTTTTCATCTCTCTAAGTCTGCAGGGCACCTTTTGCACCCAGGAGCACAGGCAGGAGTCGGCTTGCAGACATACCTGTGCACACTCTCCTCCGTGACCCTCCCACGTGACCGTGAACACCTCCCGCATGGGAGCACAGGGGCACACGGGGGTGGGCTCTGCATCTAGGCCCAGTGGAGCACATGGCAGACACCTGCGTGGATGGTGACTGTCTGACCACCCTACGACCCTGAAAGAAAAGACCATGGGACCTGGACACTTGGGCCACAGCTCCACAGGGACGGCTCCACGGGTTCTCGTTTATGTGTTGCTCTTCTACCCGGGGTGTGAATGTGTGAGCGTAAGGATGGTAATGTGTCCGTGTCGGGGGGCCTTGTGGCCCAGGGTCACCGTTTTTCCTCCCACGTCTTGGTTCTGGGGCAGGTCATGGTGCAGAGGGACAGGCACTGACCTGAGACCTTCCTTAAGCCGCAGTCCTGCATTTACCAGTGGTGGGAGCTGGAGGGGCCAGTCTTGCTCTTAGTTTCTCCGCCTGTGAAAAGGCGGACGTTGCCTTCCCAGCTGTGTTAGATGAGGGCGTGTCAATGGGGCAGATTGCCCGGGGTGCCCCCTCCTCTGAGTGTCTCCCCCTGCTCCCAGGAGTGTGACCGGTCCAACAACGAGCGGCTGGAGGGGGCTGAGATCGAGGAGTTCCTGCGGCGGCTGCTGAAGCGCCCAGAGCTGGAGGAGATCTTCCATCGGTACTCGGGCGAGGACCGCGTGCTGAGCGCCCCTGAGCTGCTGGAGTTCCTGGAGGACCAGGGCGAGGACGGCGCCACGTTGGACTGCGCCCAGCAGCTCATCCAGACCTACGAGCTCAATGAGACAGGTGGGGGTCCGCACAGCCAGGTCTTGGCACCCACCAGGGCTGCGTTCCCAGCCGAGCTGTCTCTACTGTGGGCTGGCGGTGGGCACCATCTCGGGCAGGTTCTTGCCTCTTCCAGACTCTGCTTCCACATCTATAAAATGGCGTAATAATGTGTCTTCCTCATGGGGTTTGGTTGATGATTAAATGGCTTAACTTATGGAGAGTCTAGTTTGTAGATAGTCTAGTCCTCATTACTAAGTTGAATGAGCTCTGGGGGGCATTTGGGGCTGGACATGGGGTCCTTCAGCTGGCCTGACACCCTCTCTTGCCTATCCCTGTAGCCAAGCAACACGAGCTGATGACACTGGATGGCTTCATGATGTACCTGCTGTCACCTGAGGGGGCTGCCCTGGACACAGCCCACACACACGTGTTCCAGGACATGAGCCAGCCCCTTGCCCACTACTTCATCTCCTCCTCCCACAACACCTACCTGACCGACTCACAGATCGGGGGGCCCAGCAGCACCGAGGCCTACATCAGGTAGCATGGTGGGGGGTGGACACACCTGGGAGCCCCGCTTGGAGGGGACATGGGGCTCAACCCCCACTCTGGGCTTCCTGGGGCCTCCCTGGCTCAGCCTGCTGTTGCTGTGGCCCCCACACACCACCTTGGCCATCTGTCCCTCTGTCCGTCCACAGGGCCTTTGCCCAGGGATGCCGCTGCGTGGAGCTGGACTGCTGGGAGGGGCCTGGGGGCGAGCCCGTCATCTACCATGGCCACACCCTCACCTCCAAGATTCTCTTCCGGGATGTGGTCCAAGCTGTGCGTGACCACGCCTTCACGGTGAGCCCCTGCGACCCCCACGCCCAGCCCCAGAACCTTCCCAGTGACCACCTGCCCAAGAATCAATTCGTGGGCCGGGCGCGGTGGCTCACGCCTATAATCCTAGCTCTCTGGGAGGCCGAGGCAGGTGGATTGTTTGAGCTCAGGGGTTCGAAACCAGCCTGAGTAAGAGCGAGACCCTGTCTCTACTAAAAATAGAAAGAAATTAATTGGACAACTAAAAATATATAGAAAAAAATTAGCCGGGCATGGTGGCGCATGCCTGTAGTCCCAGCTACTTGGGAGGCTGAGGCAGGAGGATCACTTGAGCCCAGGAGTTTGAGGTTGCTGTGAGCTAGGCTGACGCCACAGCACTCTAGCCCGGGCAACACAGTGAGACTCTGTCTCAAAAAAAAAAAAAAAGAATCAACTCATTCACCAAGTGCTGCTGGGATAAGTGTCAATGGGGTGGGACAAAGCTGAATGACATGCTCCCTCCTCTCCCACGTTCATATTTAATAAATGTATTAAAATCACAAGGTTTCCAGAAGAAAACCTTGGGAGTAGGGAAGGACATTTTAATCATGACTTTCAAAGAGTTAGCCATTAGAGAAGCTCTCCAGTGGCTTCTACGTGAACACTGCAACTTCTGTCCAGGTGTACAAATCTCCCCATCAACAAATGATAAGTTTGCAGCATAACTGACAGGGTCAATGTCATTCACATGTAAAGAGTGTTTATAAAAGAAAACCATGCCTGCAGCTGCCCTCAGCCTCCCAGCAGACCACGCCTCCCGAGGCCTCGGATCTGACCTCTGCCCTCCACGGACACATGGTGCCAGCGTTCGTCCCACATCCCATCCACTCAGTCCCCCTCCAGGGGGTTCTCCAGAGCCCTGCCTTGCCTGCCTGTCCTGAAGGGGTTGGGGGCAGCGTGGGTACTGGCAGGGGAAGGGAGGAGCAGCTCTGAGACATTATCCCTCCCCTGACAGCTGTCGCCATACCCTGTCATCCTGTCCCTGGAGAACCACTGCGGACTGGAGCAGCAGGCTGTCATGGCCCGCCACCTCCGCACCATCCTGGGGGACATGCTGGTGACACAGGTGCTGGACTCCCAGAATCCCGAGGAGCTGCCATCTCCGGAGGTGATGCCCCCCAGATCCCCAGCCTGGGTGGAGTCCCTGCTCGAGCCACCTCTCTGTCCAGGACCCCTCACCTCTCTCTGCCTTGACCTTTTCCTGCTCCTCCATCACTTGACATCTGCCACCCCCAGTCTTGTCCCTCTGCTGCCCTCTGGCTCTCCATTCTTGCCTGGACCCACCCTACACCCTTACCTGGCCTTGGAGGCCTTCCTCCACCTGGCTCTGCCTTGCCTGCTCTGTGTCCCTGCCCACGAGTCCCTGCAGGCTCAGCCACTCCCTCCTGCTGGTTGACACTGTCCTCTCCACCTGGAACTCCCTTCCCAGCCATCTACATATGCCAAGTGCCACCTGCTTAGAATTCCAGCTCAACTGAAACCACCTCTTCCAGTGACCTTACAAACTTCCCGAGCTCTCTGGCCAGAGGCGGCCTTCCTCCCTTCCTTCCCACCCCCGGAACACTGTATGTGCCCTCTCAGGATGTTCATCCTGCTCAGACTCGCCTCACCTTTGTGAGATTTGATTTTTGTTATCAGTATGAAAATCACATGCATATGGTAAAAAGCAAACCAAGCTGTACAAAGGGTGTAAAATGGAAAATGAGTTTCCTCCACTCAGGCTCACCCTGTCCCATTTTGCAAGAAGTAACCATCTTCGACAGTTTGTGTCCGTCCAGAATGGCACTGCATGTACATGTACCTACGTGCAGAAACATCTTCTCTTGCAAATATTGCCAGAAAGAGGCATGTGATTACATGTTCTACATGCCGTCCATGTAAGCTTTTTGAAGAGGGCTCCTCCTCCAGCCCTGAGCTGCCTCATTTATTTCAGCAGCTGCTCTGACTATTCTGATGTATGGAGGGACAAACCTTATTAACCCTGCCCTGTTGACGGCCTTGTAGGTTGTCCCCCACTTTTTCCTATTAGAAACATCCCTCGTCTGTGTGTCTCCTTCCTGCTTCTCACACGGCGGAGGGTGAATGACTGATCCACCTGCTGCCGTAGGGACTAGAGGCCTTGACCCTCCCTGTTGGCCTCTACAGCAGCTGAAGGGCCGGGTCCTGGTGAAGGGTAAGAAGCTGCCAGCTGCTCGGAGTGAGGATGGCCGGGCTTTATCAGACCGGGAAGAGGAGGAGGAAGAGGAGGAGGAAGAAGAGGAGGAGGAGGCTGCAGAGCAGAGGCGGCAGGTGAGTGGGCTACAGGCCTAGGCCGGGGCTTGGTCCCACTGCAGAGCTAGGGGCGGGGGGTGGGGAAGGGGAGGAGGGTAGGCACCAGGGGGCTGGAGCCAGCTGACCCCGCTGGGGCTGGTCTCCCAGGCCAAGCAGATCTCCCCGGAGCTGTCAGCCCTGGCCGTGTACTGCTGCGCCAGCCGCCTGCGGACCCTGCACCCAGTCCCCGGCCCTGCCCAGCCGTGCCAGGTCAGCTCCCTCAGTGAGCGCAAGGCCAAGAAGCTCATTCGGGAGGCAGGTAGGAGCAGGACGGAGGGCATCCAGAAGCAGGAGGGTTGGCGGCGGGGAGTCTCCTGAGGTTGGTGTGGAAAGGGCATTGGGAGGGCTTTGGGGCTGGCCAGCCAGTAAAGAGGTCAGGGACCCCAGAGAGGGGCTCGGCGCAGGGAACGAGGGTCCAGGTGTGGCTGGAGGGGAGAGTCACAGGGATGAAGGAGGCCTGCTTTCTGCCCTCTCAAGGCTCACAGCCCAGTGGGGGCCAGACAGGTCGGGGGGCCAGTCAGGCCCTGACAGGGGCCGGGGGAGTCCAGCAGAAGCGGGTGAGATCGGGGAGGGACTCCCGGAGCAGGTGATGCCTGAGAAGACATGTCACCGGAAGGATGAGGAGGGAGCAGCCAGGTGGAGCAGGGGGACAGGGCGGGGGTGGGGGGCACGGGGTGGGGAGGAGAGGGCTGCAGGAAGGCCTGGAGGCGTGACCTGTGGGCTGGAGGGGTGTGGGCAGGATGAGTGAGGTGTGGCAGGGAATGTCAGCTGGGGGCCAGGCTGTGTGGCCAGAGGGGTCAGGGGAGAGTGAGGAGGGGGTGGGGAGCTAGGGATGGGACTTCAGCCTCTGCTCCCAGGAAGCCACAGGCCCTGGCAAGGGTGAGGGACCCCGGGGGCCTGTCACAGTCCCGCCCCACTCTGCCCCAGGGAACAGCTTTGTCAGGCACAACACCCGCCAGCTGACCCGTGTGTACCCGCTGGGGCTGCGGATGAACTCGGCCAACTACAGCCCCCAGGAGATGTGGAACTCGGGCTGTCAGCTGGGTGAGCAGGGCCGTGGGAGCATGGAGGGGGCCGGGTGCCTATGGGGGTGGCCTCTGGGCAGCCATGGGAGGCCTCAGCAGTGAGGGGGCCACACAGCCTTCCAGAAGGTGGAAAAACGCATTTTGTTCATAATAACTATTTTAAAAGCCGTCAGAATTTTGGTGGGGAAATCAGGTTTTCTTTGTTCTTAACAGTATAAAAGTCTCATGCTTTAATGAGGTAGAAATTAAAACCTCCACTCCTATATGCCCCGACACACTCACACACACCGCTTTGTGGCAGCCCTGCTAAGTCTACACCGACAAGGGTGGACTCTGGGGACACTGAGCACTGCCAGAGGAGGGAGTGTGGCCCCCTTGGGTAGGTACAGAAGCCCCAGGCTTCCTCGGCCCCTGGCTCTGACCCAAGCTAGGCTGGGCCCTGACGGTGAGGGCTTCTCCAGCACCCCTCACCCCAGCCCACCCTCCAGGGATAGGTACAGCCGACAGTGAGAGCTGGGTCCCCTGGCTGCCATGACCGCCTCGATAAGTCAAGGTGGGGGCAGGTAGCACTAACCAGACAGGAGGCCCCTGGGCCCTCTGCGGAGAGGAGCTAAGTCCCCTGAAACTGCACATGAGGCGAGGGCCACTAAGAGCCCTCTCTGACCCTGCTGTGTCCACAGTGGCCCTGAACTTCCAGACGCCAGGCTACGAGATGGACCTCAATGCTGGGCGCTTCCTCATCAACGGGCAGTGCGGCTACGTCCTGAAACCTGCCTGCCTGCGACAGCCCGACACAACCTTTGACCCCGAGTGCCCTGGACTCCCTAGAACCACTCTCACCATCCAGGTCAGCAGCCTGGGCCGTGCCCTAGGCTGGGGTCCGAGTTGGTTCTGGAGAGGCCCTTCTGAGCTGGAGGAAGACAGGGAGGCTGGGGATGGGCTTGTGTTGAGGGTGGTCTGAGTGCCGATGGCAGGGGTGGACGTGGGCCCCAGCGGGCCAGGCCGAAGCTCCCTCCCTCCCTCCCCCGCCAGGTGCTGACTGCACAGCAGCTGCCCAAGCTGAACGCCGAGAAGCCACACTCCATTGTGGACCCTCTGGTGCGCATTGAGATCCACGGGGTGCCTGCGGACTGTGCCCGAAAGGAGACCAACTACGTGCTCAACAATGGTGGGGGCCCGCTGGTGGGAATGGGGGGCAGACAGCAGAGAATGGAAGGGGTTCGGGGAGGGCCAGGCGCTGGGCTCTGACCGCCAGCCTGTGTCCTAGGCTTCAACCCCCGCTGGGGGCAGACCCTGCAGTTCCAGCTGCGCGCTCCAGAGCTGGCGCTGGTCCGGTTCGTGGTAGAAGATTATGACACCACCTCCCCCAATGACTTTGTGGGCCAGTTCACGCTGCCTCTCAACAGCCTGAAGCAAGGTTGGTGGAGGCTGGTGGGGGTGGAAAGGGGCGGGGTCCGGCCTCCCTGTTCACCTTTGTGCCACCCATTTCCTCTGAGAGCCGGGGCCTGGTTCAGGGCTGAGCCCAGGGCTGGGAAGAGGACCTAACACCTGGCTGCCCTCCTCACAGGGTACCGGCACATCCACCTGCTTTCCAAGGACGGGGCCTCGCTGTCACCAGCCACGCTCTTCGTCCACATCCGCATCCGGCGCTCCTGAAGGCCCCACTGACCCATCTTGGGGGTCTGTGGATGCCAGTCTGCGTCCCCTGCAGAGCCCTCGCCCCCTCTGGAGTGGAGGGGTGGTGGGAGTACCAGCCACGCCCCCCAGCCTGCCCACTGGGCCCGCTCACCTGGTGCTGGGCTCACCTGGGTGCTGATGGGTGCTGAGGGCTTCCTGGGTCCCTCCTGAAGAACAGGTGTGATCTGTTCCCTGCAGAGCTGCTCGTGTGACTTCACAGAGCTCCAGCCCTGGGGCTCTGAGACAGCCCCAGCTCCTCTTGTCCTCAGCCCTCCTCCTCACCTGGGCTAATGAAGAGTCAGGACTGTTGCTGCCAGGAGACTTGGGGAGCAGGACACCTGTGAGCCCCAGCCCCTCTCTGCCCACCAGCAGGGCCATCCCCGTCTCCTTCCCCCAGAGGAGCACAGCTGCCCCCTTGCCCCAACCCTGGGCATTAGCCGGCCCCTGAGCCTCGTTTCCTCCCAGGCTTTCCTGGACGACTCCCCCAGCTCTTGCACCTGAACGCCCCTTCCCTTCCCAAAGCAAGAAGGGAGCACCGATGCAGCCCTGGGGAACCTGGCAGTACGTTTTTAACTTGTGTCCTACAAGAGCCCTGGAGAACAGTAGAAGGAGACTATCTATTTTAAAAAATAAAGCCAGGCATGGTGGAAAGCCCTATAATCCCAGCTACTTGGGAGGCTGGGTAGGCACTGACCAGAGGCGGAAGGATCACTTAAGCCCAAGAGTTTGAGTCCAGCCTGAGCAACATAGTGAGACCCCACTCTGAAAAAAAAAGAAAAAATAAACAAGTTTATTTTACCACTGCCATCCCCTGAGTCCCTCTGTGATGCCACACCTGCAGACCCATGGGGGGTGGCCTGGAGTGAGAGTCCCTTGGGCCTCTTCCCTCAGCAGGGCTTTGATTTATGACAGCCACAGGGTGGCAGGAGGAGATACCACAGCTCAAAATAGCCCTGCTCCCTGCTCTTGGCTTAAAGCTGCTGCCAGTATCACAAGACTGTCTGAAGACACCAATTCACAAGGTCACCCCTCCCCACTGAGAGCGCACGCGCGCGCGCGCACACACACACACACACACACACACACACAGGCCCTGAATGGAGGGCAGGTCTCTGAGGGACCCTCAGACAGACACCCACTCCCTAGGCTCACCTGGGTGCAGGCCCCTGTTTGCTCAGTAGGGCAAATCCCAGGGATTTGGGGATCCCCCCCACCAGCCAACCAGCCTTTTAAGCGAAGGTGAGAAAGCAGCAGGCCACACTAGGGTAATGCCAGAGAGTGCATGGACGCCAGGTGACAGAATCCGGGGAAAGCCCTGGGCCCAGACCTGGCAGAAAGGTGACTTTATGGGGTTAAACGCGGAGCCTTGGCATTCTAGATTCCATCAGGCAACAGTGCCATCACCGGACAAGGGCAGGGCTTGATGGCCGTCCTGACAGGGTGGCCCCAGGAACACGCAGGGCTAGGCCTAAATTGGCCCCAAGCCCTGCCGGAACCAAAACCCAAGGCTGGAGCAGTCTCCGCCTTCCTGCAGCCCCATGACCTGATAGAGGAAACGCCAGCCTCCCCTGCTCTCCGTTCATGCTGGGAGTGGCGCTTGGTTCTGATGAACTCGTGTCTGAAAGAGAATGATCAGGACTTCAAGGGCCCAGAAGGAACGGGCTGGGCAGCCCAGGCACCTGGCACTCAGGGCTGTCAGGGGGGCCAGGCAGCCAAGCCGCAGCCCCGGAGGGGGGGAGGCACAATGAGGCTAAGTCCAGTTTTAGTGTACAAAGAGCAATGAGTGTAATCTGGCCCCCACTGAGCCAGCTCCGGTCAGGGGCTGGCTGGGGTCCTATGTCAGGTGAGCACCAGACCCAGGGCCGAGCCCCCATCCTGCTTTGCTTCCTGGTTTGGTGTTGCAAGAGGAAGGGCTGATGGCTCGGATGGGGGCCCAGCGCTGGGAAGACTGCCTTGAGAGGGCCATAGTCTTCAAGGCTAGGAAGCTGACAGGAACTGAATATGGGAGGTGGGAACAAGGGGGAAAGCACAGCCTTTAACCCTGGAGGTTCCTGGGTGGAGACTACCCGTAGGGCTGTGTTCTCCCTGCGCAAAGCTCAGGGCAGGAACGAAGGCATAAGCCTTCAGGAGCCAGAGTGACCTGGTCTGGGACAGGAGGGTGGGGGACAAAGGTGAGGGCTTAGCAGGGGTCAGGCAGGTCCTGTGTCCTCTAAGTTTCCCTGGAAAGGGGCTCCGAGTCACTAGCCCCAGGGGCCTGAAAGGATCATGGGGTCCAGAAATGGATGAGAAGTTCAAAAGGACAAGAACAGGAGCAATGGGAAGTCTAAATGCAGCTACCGGGCCCAGCAATCTGCCATGTTAAAATGCACCCCCTGGGGGCCTCAACAGAACCACTGGCCACAGTGAGTGGGAAGGCGCAGGGCCTACACCCTGCATTGGCGAAGCCACTGCTGACCTGGGCCGAGGGGGCTGCTCTGCTCCCAGCTGGGAAAGCTGGGCTGGCCACTCTGCCAAGATGCTCGGGTGCTGGCTCAGAGCCCAGCCACTCCTTTTACATGGAGTGAACCCGGGTCAGTACCGGCTCCTCTCTGGCAGGTGGGAAAGGTTGGGGGGAAAGAGCCAAGTTTGCCCCAAAAGGGTAGCCTTGCCAAAGGCAGGGCTTCCAAAACTGGCCTGGCTCTTCTTGCAGGACCCTGTTGCCCTCGCTCTAGCCCAGTCCGTCGGTCCACTGTCACCTGCTGACCAGGAATACCAGGAGGGCAGAAGGGTTTGTTCAGCTGCTTCCTTTATTAGAAACAAGTGAGATGTATTGAGCAGAAACAACAATGCATTTGGTATTTCCTCCCCCACCCTGGAAATGGATGCCCCCCCGCAGCCCAAAGAAAAGGCAAGACAAAAAGGTGAAGCTCCCTCCTCCCTATTCCCAGATGCGGCACCTGCCTGCCCATCAGTCAATATTTTGGAATTAAATTGCATGAAATTGTCCTAAACAGCCTCCCTAGGAGCAGTCTGCTTGCAGGCCTGCCTTCCGTTTGCAGCAGAGCAAAACTGACGCCTTTGGGTCTCCTCTGGTTCTGCGGCAGGTGGGCTGGGCTGTGAGAAGTCTGCCCCCCAGGCGGGTAGGCACTGACCAGAGACATTGCTGCCCTCTCCCCTGACCTGACAGTTAGTCCCTCTCTCTCCTAGATTGCAGCTCCATGCAGCTGTCCAAGGCCTTTGGGTCCTTAGGTTGGTTAAATACAGGTCATCTTTGGGCCAAAGGGACACCCACCTCTGGACTTCAGAGAGCCAGCAAGTAAGGGGGGCAGTGGCAGTTAGAAGGGAGCTGTAGGCAAGGCCTGAAATTTTCCATGAACCTTGGTGTTAAAGTAGCTTGACGTAGGCCAGTCTTCAAACAAGACATCAGCCTCCGGAAATAGGCATGTGTGGGGAGAATGAGCCCTAGGTGGGAGCTGAGGCCTCCTTTCTACCCAGCTCTCTCCCTACACAGAGACTGGAGTCTGTGGTCAAATGCAGAGTCAATCCAAAGGCAGGGGGTTAAGGTTATCTTCAAAATACAGCAGCCAGGAGGACTGGGGTGGCAGAGGGTGGGGGCCACAGGGAGGTCTTCCAATAGCAGCTGCTTGAGGCAGGTCAGCTTGGAGGCACTGGGGTCCTTCCCTTGTTTGGTTCAAGCCAGCCATGGTGCCATCAGACTGCAAGGCTCCTGTGGGGAGGCCCTGAACCCCATGATGGTACTCTCTCACCTGAGGTCCCAGAAGGGGTTGAGTGAAGAACCCAGGGGCTGTTCGGACAAAAACAAGACTAACAGCACCCTCCGAGCCAACTCCTGCAGACCTGGGTAGGGTCCTCATCATGAGATAACAGCAGAGTCCAAGGAGCAGGCCACCTGGTTTTGGCAAGGGAGATGCCAGGGCCTTTGCTAGGAGATCTGTTTCTTCCAGAGCAGCCACCGGGGCCTCACCGTTTCCATTCCACAACCTGGGTCAACCAAAGCAAAGCTCGCCCCACAGATACGTGCAGCCCAAATCTCAAGAGGCAGCTCACGCAGGGACCTGGCCCAGAACTGATCCAGACTAGGACAGGGAGCCTTTCCAAGTTCCAGGTCACCCCAAGGTAGGAAAGACTTGGGCACTTTGTTCTTTGATATCCTCAGAGGTCTGGATAGGGTGAGCCACTTGGGGCACCGTGCGTGCCTGCTGTGAGGCTGTAAAAGCAAGCCCCTGCCTCTCCCGACTCCTTCTGTCTGTGGAATGCAGCACACATCTTGCTAAGAACAGTAGCTTCTTTGGTCTGGATATCTTGGAGTCAGGGAGATAAAGGTCAGCCGTGATGGCCAGTGCCTGCAGTTTGCAGCACAGGAACAACTGGGAGAAGGGAGGCCCCTAGAGGCCTCTGATGACAATCCACCACAGGAGAGTTGCTGGCTCTAGCAGCAGTCTGCAGAGAGCGGGCGGGATTCCCACCGGTGGCACAGTCCCCATCCCAAGCACACAATTTCCTCCAGCTTTGGGGACTCTGCAGAATTAACTTCTACTCTAGCAAGCCACACCAAAACCCACAGCCTGAAACAAACCCCTCTTGGCCTGCAGACAGTGGCTTCAGTTAGTGCGACAAGGCTAAGCCTGGCCTCCTGGCTAAGGCTTCATTCCTGTACAAGCTGAGAGGTGAAAGCAGCAAGTCCCCCATGCCACACATCACGCTACCCACCCATTCGCTTCCTCCTAGAGAAAAAGCTACACACAACCCTGCACATGGGTTGCTGACAATTCTGCAGCCCGATCCTCTTCCCCAGGCTGAACTGAAGAATGCCGACGTGGGCAGCCTTGTGACCAGAGGCTTGATTACTTCTTGGGGAACCGGCAGCACTGATAACCATCACTACCGCCACAAAAATCCACAAAACGGCATCAGTGACAATCAGACTCAGACAATGGCAATGCGAAACCGTTTCTGTTGCCAAGTCCAGATCTGTCTCTAATCACCATTTCTTGCTGCCACTTGCAGGCTGTGTGTCTTAGAAAAGAGCACAGAAATGGCTAATGGGTTGGAAGGCACAGGCCAGGTGGCTGAAGGGGTCTGGGCACTGGCTCCATGCCATCTCTGCCCCGCCACCCTGGGGACACTCAGGTGCTGGCTCTTTGCTCTGAGATGAGCTAAGCAGGGCTTGCACTAATGTGGTCTTCACAGGTCCCAGACGCTACAAGGAGGTGCAAGGGCTCCTTCGCACTGCCTGTCACCCCAGGCAGTGGAAAAGCAAAATCACACAGGAGACTCATCCCTATAAGGTTGGCCAACAGCTGGCTAGAGAGCCCTTTTACATCAGTTGGCAGGATCATGTCCTACAGGGAACAAGCCAAAGGGATGGAAGGGACTTGAGCAATGAAATCTGTGTCCACAGATTGTCCCTGTTGCTGTCTCAGAATGCAGAAAGGCCTGGCCCCTGCAGGGATCAGCCTCACCCAGGAGCTCTGCCTGCCATTCTGTGAGGTCTGAGCCTGTTCCACCTTTCCTTCCTTCTCAAAACCAATCACTCCAGCCGATTCAGAAGGGGACCTGGACAAGGCCCCCCAAAGCCTTTCTCCTTCTACCCGAGAAAAGTCAATGTCTCCTTTTGAAGGACACAATTAACTGTACCAATATGTCTGTCTGCCACTGTCCTTGGGTCCTAATTTTGAGGAATGATCTGGATTCAGATTTTCATTAGAGACCAAACATCCTTGTACATTTGGAACATGAAAGATAGTTAAAATATTTATATATATATAATATATATATATACTTTTATTATTCACCCGTTAACTCCATAATATGCCAATCACGAGCTAGTTTTCAGCAGTTACATTCCCTTGATCACGGCTGCATGAGGATGTGATTAACTGGAAAACAGGGAGACCAGAGACACAGCCAAAGGTGACGTCACGCAGCCCACGCCATTGCAATACATTGTCAAGTTCACTGGCGGTTTGGTAAAGCTGGTTCAGCTCTGTTCCCCTTGCCAGGGATTCTCACGTTTGTGAAAATTGGACCAATTTGTGGGGCTCCATTTCCTGGTTGGAATTCTCAGTGGCTTTATCCAGAATCTCACTGGCGACTGGTTATTGTAGCACCAGCCCCACCTAGGAGAGCCAGCGGGGAGAGGCAGAGTTGAGTTGACAGTTGCCCGGAGACACTCCCACTCCCTCTAGGCCTGAAGTTCCAACTGACTGAGCCCACAGCAGCGCCCGTGCCAGCCCCCACTCAGCCTCCACGCCAGGGTCCACACATCCACGAGACCCTCCCAGGAAAGCAACACTCAGCTTCCCAGGACAAGGGGCTCCAGCTCACCTGTCAGAGTTTTGTGAATGCTGCCTACACCCATGCCCTGGGGCTATCCTGTGGCGCTGAGGAGGAAGAGCTAAGTGTGTGCCACCGGGATCAGGGTGGCAGCCCAGGAGAGGAAACACTCCTCAGATCCTCCAACCCTAACCCCTGACTGTGGGCAACCCTCCAACCTCCAACCCTAACCCCTGACTGTGGGCAACCCTCCAACCTCCAACCCTAACCCCTGACTGTGGGCAACTCAACTCTCACAGTTCCCTCAGACAGTGCAAATGCTCGGCCCCGGCCAGATGAGGCAGGTCAGCTGGTGGGGACAGAAGCTGGAGACAACCTTCCAGCTCCTTTCCTTTGGGGAAGAACTCAGGAAAAAAAAAAAAAAAAAGAACCTTCTAGCTCCCGAGTGGCTCTGGGACCCTCTGCTATCCTCACACCAGGTGCTGAAAGGGAAACACGGACCTGCTGGCCTGGCCATCAGAGGGAGGCATTGTCAAGGGCCCAACACCAGTAACGAGGGCCTAGACTGTTCCAGTATCCCTGACCCATGACCCTATTTCTGCTGGAGACACCAACTCCCTGAGCCGGGTGGGCCCAGACTGCAGGTGCTCACGGCACATACCTTCTCTGCCCCCATGCTGGGGCATTTCCAATTGTAAAGGTAATACTGCAGGTTGCCGTCCCCAATGCCAAACTTGAGCTTCTCCAGGAAGGTTTTGTTCTCCATGAGATCCAGTGCATTGAACACATCAAACCCTTTCTGCACGGAGGCAGGGAGAAACACGAACAGGTGAGGACAGGTGAGGGCTGCCTCGCCTTCCTTCCCTCTTTGCTACATATCAAAACTGTCCTGTAAGTGGCCACAAGAATGAGGTTTCTTCAGAAGCTCTGCTGCTTCTGCCTTAAATCCAAACTCCAGCCGGCACCCAGCTGTCCAGGCCCAGTTCTCAGGACACGGAGTGCCACCCCTCCAACCTGGCCTATCCTCAGTGTCTCTCTGAGTCACACTTGTGCATTCAGTATCCAGGCCACTGCTCTTGCCGTTCCTTTCTATGCCTCCCTGAAACTCTCTAGTAATTTCCAGGCCTCTCGGGGGACCAAGCCCTGAGCTCTTCCTCTGAGAAGCTGACGGGAGCTACTTGGCATTTGTGTTGCTTCCTTACACCCAAGGACACCCCAACTCTCAGGCCCTTGGTGTGCACCACGTGACTGTATGGCACCTGCTCCTAAATCTCATCAGCTGGATCGGAAGCTCTCACAGGGCAGGGATGGGCCTGCCCACAGTGGGCTGGGCGCAGGAGGTCACCAGAACCCCACGATGAAGGACTGGCTGATGACCTCTCCGCCCCAGCCTCAACAGTCAGATGCTCCGGTGACTCTCCAAGACAGAGACCAATCTCCCCTTTCCCATGCTGGGCAAGCTGTGAGGAGAACCCCTGTACTCCCAGAGCAGGCCTGGCTATTCAGGCTCCTTGGCTGCACCTCCTGTGAGAACGAAACTCACTGAAATAAATCAGAAGGCGTTCAATGCCTTCACTATGTCTGGACGCTTCTCGCTCCCTCCTAGCTTTGAGTTTTTGGCTGAAAACTGTGGGGACGCTGCCTAAGTGGAGTGGGAGGGTGAGGCGGGCTCAAAGCCTCCCGGCCCACAGGCAGCTACCTCCTGGGAGCTACGCTCACCGCTGCTGCCCTGCCCCTGCCCCCCTGCCCCGCATGTCTCTGGAGACCCTCCGGCCTACTCCTCACCATTTTGGCGAGAACAAGGGCGTCACTCATGAGGTCTAGAAGAGGGGTCTGGGTGTGCACGTTGTAGAAGGAATAAGCAGCTTTTAGACTCTTGTGGGTTGGATGGTTCATGATGGTGGAGGGAAGCGTATAAAAGCTCAGGAAATCCGTCACCTCTCCATTTGCATTCTGAAGGGAAGATAAGAAAAGGCCACGTCAAGCATGCACAGGGGCACTGCAGCCAGGAACACAATGTTTTCTCTCACTCCCATGCCACCTTCAGGTAGCTCTGCCCCTCCAGATAAATGGGTGGAAACGACAACAGGCTATGTAGGGAGGAGGAGATACACTAGCTGAGGGCACCTGAGAACGAAGCCAGGCGGACCATGGGCCGAACCTGCAAGCCCTCTTCCCAGCCTGGGCACTGCCAGGGACCTCCTCCTCCAGCTCACATCCCCCAGGCTGTGTCTCTGTGTGGCCAGCACTGGATTAAGCTGGGCCAGGCAGGTGATCGGAGGCTCACCTGACTAGGAGGGGCTCGGTTCTCTCTATTCTGTTATCAAAGGTGGGGGCAGGGACAGAAGGGCTCAAGACAGGTCCAAAGGGCATCTTTCCAGCAAATGCAAGATACAACGTCCTGCTTAGGGAGGACCAAACACAGGTGGTGAAGGAAGTCTAGGGTGCCAACACTTGAGCTCTGGGAACTCGGCCACTTTCTGAGGATGCCTCTCTGGGAATGAACCAGAGGCCTGGCATGCTGCCCCCGGACTTACCTCCACCACGAAAGTGTCGATGATATTCTCTTGGGGGAAGAACCAGTGCTCTACTTCCTCCTGGTTCATGACTGGCGTGAGGTGAAACTGCTTCAAGTACCTGGTGAGGAGCTGGTGCACTACTGGAATGTCCTTTTTTTCCATTGGTCGCAGCCCAGCTGTCTTGGGAGTCTGGAAGGAAGACAGAAGAGGCGCCATCAGATGTGCTGATCACCCTGGATCTATTCACCCAGGTACTAAAGAGAGAGCCCTTAATCATCCTTGGCACCTTCCTCTCAGCCCTGTGCTCGTCTGCTCAGGGTAGGTCCTGCCCTGGGCTTTCTCCTGGCCCTTCTCCTCCCAGTCCAGGCTGTCATCCAGGCTCCGTTATCTGCAGGTCTTCCTAAGAAAACACACCCATCACCCCCCCCCCTTGTCTCAACCTCCCAGACCTAGAGCACAAGACCTTCCACCCTTGGGCCAGTTGGCTATTCTAGCTGTACCTTCTTTCTGTCCTTTAGCCCAGAAGTTCTCAAAGGGGACAATTTGCCCCCCAGGGTGAATTTCCTCAGAGTCCTCACAACCTTGTCACACTGAACTATAGCTGATGTCTTCCTACCCTCACTGGTCTCTCCTCTTAGAGCACCCCACAGACAGAGCCCAGGGCCCGGCCAGGGTCTGTACTGGATGCAAGCTTTGTCTGCTCACCCGGATGCCACCACACTGGGAGTGGCCCTGACAAGACATTGCTGCAAGTTACATTCAGAAGAAAAGCACCCAACTCCCGCCAACTCCAACCAGCGTCCCACCCCACAGCTGCTTTTCCTAGAAAAATGCTTCAGTGGAACGAAATCACATGATACTGGCACTGATAGAACATCCCCCAGGGGCTCAGATGCACAAAGGTGGGCTCAGGCCAAATCTGCAAACAGGGTGGTGTCACAGTTTATTGGCTTCAGCCTCTGCCCAATATAATGCTTCCCAGCACAGGAAGTACTTTCAAAATTTCAGTTACAGGTCGGTCTTCTAGCCCCCGAGATTCCTTGCCAATCCTGTCTCTCCAGGGAACACATGCTGACCTCTCTCTACAAGGCGGCTCCCACAGCGACCCCTCAAGTCCTGACTGAAAACACAGCCATGTTGGGGTTCTCATCTCGACCTGGGGAGACCCACACATTCTTCTGGCTGCTGCAGCACTTTAAGATTACTGACTGCCTGCCCGCCTCAAACGCAAGGCAAATCTGCCATGACAACAAAGTGAGAAGGCAGCCACCATGGCCCCCCACACCTGTTTTGTGGCAGTGTCTAACTGCACTGCAGCAGTCTCTCAAGATGGGACACTTATGACCCCAATTCAATGGATAAGCCTGATTCCAGCATGATAAATCCTGTTTGGTGGCTCAGCGACCCTGGAGGGCAGCCCTCTCATCAGCTGGCTCCCATAGCTGTTTGGACTGACAGCCAACAGTGAGTGCTCGGAGGAAAGAGGAGGGATTTTAAGAATCCCTACCTTGGGATGCTGAAGCCAGGCATAACTGGAGAACAAGGAGCACTGGTTTTGGGAAAGTCGGAAAGCTGAGACCCCAAACAGAAACCGGCTCACTCAGGTTGCCCAGTCCTTTGGTGCCAAACCTGGGCTTCCCCCACAAGCTCAGGTCACCCCTCCTTCGCCTGACTTGCAGAGGGCAGCAGACACGCTGGTGTCATTTACGACGGGATCTGGAAAGTGCTGCCGTGTATATGAAGGCACAGTGAGTGAATTTATCTTTCTATTTATGCTTCACTTGGGCTAAAATTACAGACACTAAGGTGTTCTCTGAGCCTATCAACAGATGGCAGGGAACTAGCCCAGGTGCAGACTCAGGGGAACTGGGAAAGTCAAACTAAAATAAAACCCTTGCTGTAGATAACAGAAGCAACAGAAATAGAAAGTATAGCAATCTGGAAACGATGAGCAGGTTCCCTTTCCTGGTAAGAGAAAAGCCGTCTCCCCACACGAAGCCCTCCCTGCTTCTCTCTTACTGATGGCAAGGCTGTCCTGACCGCCCTCCAGCCCCTGCCCCTCGCCCCTGCCACCACTGGCCTCTGGCAGTCGGTAGAGCTTCATGGTACGCTGCATGGTCATATTTCTGCTCAGGTGGGAGAACTTCACTTCAATCAACTTCCGTGGGTTTAGGGACCGATGCCAGTACCTGTGGGGACACAAATGTCCTATCCTCACGACTCTGGCCATTAAGACAATGGCAAGGAGATCTCCAGATGGCCAGCAGGTGGCGTGAGAGACCCATGTCACCCTGCTCCCCAGCCTCCCCTTAGTGAATGCAGAGCTGCCCTGGCTCCTGGATTTTCTTTCTCCCTGTTTTTCTTTCTCAATTTCAAAAAGCCACTCTTTTGCTAGAAATAGTTCTGGGGAGAACAATCCTCACTCTGAGAATCAAGTCAAAGGAAGACTTATAACCGTGCCCAGGAGACTGAGGCAGATGTGTTCACCCTCCTCTCTCCTCTTCTGCATTGACACCCGGTGTTTCTACTTTTAAAGGTCTCTAGGCAGAGATTATTCAATTGTTTCAAACAACTTCCTAAGGCAGAGGCTGTCCTTGGATCAAACAGGGATCAGACACCTTCTCTTTGGCCCACATAATATTCAAAACAAAATTGAGCCAACCATTTAACACTTTAGGACATTTCTCACAACAAACTCCAGATTTGGGCTTGTCCTTAAAAACAAAAACAAAACCCCCAGCAGACTGACACCTCCATATCCAAATGGCAGTGACCAGCAAATACTTAGAATGGCTCACCCCTCTGGACAAGGCAGGCACTCTCCAGGCGGCCATCCCTACAACCCTGTCCCTTCAACCTCCACGCTCCCCACCTGGCTCCCACCACCCACCTTACCAGACACTAGAGAAGCAAGATGTTCAAGGGCATGCACCCAGCCTAGGGGCACAGTTGTGACATAAGCTTCTAACTAGAGCAGGGGCACCAGTATTTCCAGGACTTTACAGGAAGAAATTTTACCTGCAGGTGCCAACAGGCTTTGGTAGTACCACACCGGCAGTGTAAACAGCTTGGAAAATGCCCTCCAGGTGAACCCGCCTGGTTATCTCTCGGATCAGGACTGGAGCCACCCTTTTGGAGCGCAGCTTCTTGTGTACACACAGGAAGTTAATCTCTACCATCTTCTTCTCTCTGAAGAGGGAGGAAAAATCCAGGTGACAAGGCTTTTAACAAAGAAGGTAATGGTAATCCAGCCAAGCATGGGAAGCCAAACTTGGGAGGACAGGGCCTCCAGCACAGGTACGGATTTTGCTGCCACCTGCACTCAGCACCAGGACTCCCTCCCGCTCCTCTACCAGCTTTGACCAGGCAGGGAGCCTGCCTCGCTACACCAGACTCCTCTTCTAATGGAGAATGGGTGCCAAGCAAACGCCCTTATTTGAAGGCACCACCAGCATGTCCCTGATAAATGCCCAGTAGTGGGCAGGGGAACCCCCACTTGAGCATGCAAGGAAGCAGCATAGGGAACCCCAGAGTGGGCCAAGGCTACTCTAGGGTTTCAAGGGTTCTGACTCCACCAAGAACATAGCCCATAAACCTTGAAGACTGTGGCAGATGGTTCTGACATTTCCAGGGAGAACGAAGAGCAGAAACTGCAGGCCCCAAGGACTATCTGAATCTGGGTCACTGGCTCTGGCCCATTTCTGATGCTGCTCAAGTACATCCACATGCGACTGGTACAGGAGTTCAAAGACGAGCCCCTGCTGAGTGGGCACACTGGGCTCCAGGTGGGCCCCTCCCAGCCCAGGTCACAGACAAGGGAGCCAGCTGCAACTCAAGCGCAGAACAGGTGGTTCCCCTATGATGAATTTCTATTCCCAGCACCAGGTGTCCTCCCTTCCTGAGACCTTCTCTCTGTCTTGAGGGGTACACGTAGCTTTTTTCTTCTCCCTCCCAGACCAACCAGGATGGTGGTGATGTGGGGGTTGGGGGTGCTTACGTGTCATAGACATGGATGTTTGCTGGGATGGCGCTAATAAACCCAACCAGTTTCCGACTTGAAACCACTCGAACCCCGCAGTGCCACTGGGGGAGCCAGCCGGGTGGCCGGAGAGCCCTGGAAAAGAGACAGGGGCTGGCGCTGTGGTGCTGCTTGCTGGCTGGCTGGACAGGCTGTCTGGGTTCCACAGCCAAGTCTTGACCTGGCACAACCACCTCCCTGGGGGTTAAAAGCCTAATTCTCTTTAGGGCCAAGCCCTCCTGGACACAAACAAATCAAGCCCTTGCCATCTCTGGCTACGCAGCCCATTTGGCCTACTTACTCACCCAATGCAAGGCTGTCACACTGAGAATTCTATGCCTGATCCGATTTTTTTTTTTTGAGTCACTCTCTTGCCTGGGCTAGAGTGCCATGGCGTCAGCCTAGCTCACAGCAACCTCAAACTCCTGGGCTCAAACAATCCTCCTGCCTCAGCCTCCTGGGTAGCTGGGACTACAGGCACACGCCACCGTGCCCGGCTAATTTTTCTATTTTTAGTTGTCTGGCTAATTTCTTTCTATTTATAGTGGAGACAGGGTCTCGCTCTTGCTCAGGCTGGTCTCGAACTCCTGAGCTCAAGTGATCCTCCCGCCTCGGCCTCCCAGAGTGCTAGAATTACAGGCGTGAGCCACCGCTCCTGGCCTCTGATCTGATTTCTGTGTATTCATTTTGATAGCCTGAACCAGGGAATTGACTTCTCTGGTTCAGAGACCAGTGGGTTCCATGGTTGGGAGCTGACTGTGGTACCCCTGGAGCTCCGGTCTCCTGTCTGCCCTCTGGGTATCACTCCCCTCTTTCTGCTTACAAATTATTCCTTTCCCACCCCTCTCAAGTAGTCTCTATTTCATGCCTCTACCTTCCTCGATATTAAATGTGGTCCAGGCAAGTGGAAGGCTCAGCCGGTCCAGGCCATTTCCATACAACTGAGCATGCTCAGGAACTAGAGAGAAATGACCCTTTTTTTCCTTTAAATTTTAGTGGGTCTCACCGCCCCCCATACATTTCCCTTCTTGTGTAAAGTCACCACACAATAGATGATCTTTTCTTCTGTGTACCAAGTCTACAAAGGTCTCCCTCACCCCATCAATCTATCTTAAATAAGGTTTCAGTTCTAAGCACCACTGAAAGCAAGTCTCTTTCAGATGCAGAACTCAAAAACGATATATTAATTTGCCATTCAAAAGTTGGCAGGGATGAAAACTCTGGTGCCCCGTGGTGGTTCTGCTCTGTGCCCTGCCCTCAAGAACCTTAAGAAAGCCCTTCCAACTTACCACAAAAGAAATTCTGGGGAATAATCAAATCGGAACATGTTGTCATCATCTTCCACATAGTTCTCATTCAGGAGGGTGTATAGTTCTTTCAGCTGGAGAGAAATAAGGAGCTTACTTAGAGGTGTTCTGTCAGGTGGAGGACCAACTCCGATACCCTGGGGCTCTAGGCTTTTCAGAAGGACCAAGAAAACTACCAAAACCTGTGTCGAATCTCACAGATCTTTTTCACTCCGGGCATGGCAGGCCCTCTTTTGGAACAAGCACCCTGGTTGTAATAGGAGAGTAAGCCACCAAGGGGTAAAGTGGCAGACCAAGAATGCCATCTAGCTAACCAACCACTCCATCAGTCTGCTCCGTCGGCAGTGCAGAGCCACTGGGCTCTATTGCTGTGATGATGCTCTGGAGAGAGGACTCTTGGGACTGATCAAGGAATTACTCCGAGGAGAGTCACTGCCACTTCCTACAATGTTTGGTTTTTAGCCTCTGGCCCAAACAAAGGCCTTTTGGCACTTTTCTGCCTTCCCAGCTATCTCCATCCGCTGGCCCAAGTTTGGTATTAAAAAATTCTGTTCGCATTTTCATCATTTCTTACAGGGGAAACAAATCCCTCAGATCAAAAGAAGAGGCTCTGGGTGCTGAGGTGGAGAGGGGAGAAGAGACCCTCATTTAGCAGTCCCAGCTCATCGGTTAGGAGACAGACTAGAAATCAGACAAGGGAATAAATGAATGAACAAAAAAATGAAAATGAGTGAAAAAAGGAGGAGCTACAGAGATTAACTCTTAACCTGCCAGAACAGCCAAGTGCTATTTATGGGGAGCCTTGAGCAGGCCCCAGGAAGGAACAGATGGGGGACTCTCCAGACTCTGCAGCTCAGCTCCCGAGAGTCTTGAGGAGGCCTGGAGTAGACGCTGTCTCGGGATGACTGTAGGGGTTACTACGAAAATGGTATCCAGTTGCACCTGTAACCTGCCAGGGGCCCACTCACCACACCACGATCCCCCAGGTCCAAGGCATCCCAGGTGAAGCCCTGGGGCAGGGTATAGGGCTCCTGGCGGATGTTGTCTTTGTCAGGTTCCACGGGACCGTGGGTGTTCACCACTTCGCCTGGAAGAAGAGCACAGCCATGAGCCTCACCCTCTGCCTCCTAGGGGAGAGAAAGGGCTCAGCTCAAAAACTGACCAGAGCAAATTCCTCCTGTCCCTAGGAGCCCTCCATCTGAAGAACATTCTGTGCTTGGCAGCTGCAAACCATCTCTCCAGCTACCCTTGGCCCCTAATTGAGGGCCAGTTCACAGCAAAACTTCAGAACAATCACTAGCATCCAAGGTGGTTCATTTTTTGGAAATCCTTTCAAATCTCCCTTGGGGTACTGAACGACAAACATTTATCTTTACTAATTTGGCTTCCTGCCTCCTAGTTGGTGTAAAAAGTGCTGTCATGGCTCGGACCAGGCCAACCGATCTGGATGGATTTGTAAGGAGTTGCAACAAGGCTGCTTTTGTGTCAACAGCAACAACAATGTCCTGGGCCCATTCCTGAACCAGATGATGGCTTCTAGGCGCCAGGCTCAACTGTGGCCCTGCCAGCCTTGGCTTTCAGCAGTGTGAGCCAGTTAACTGCTACTGCCAACTCGAGACTTCAGTGTTTAGAGTACTGCAAGTGCCTTTAGACTGAATTTCTGAGTCTAAACAGTGCTGCCAGGAAGTCACCCTCCGACCTGACATCCCCACCCTGAAGAGCATGCCCCTCGTCTGTGGGAATCTGTGGCGAGTGCTTGGAAGTGCTCAGATGATACAGCTCCCAATTCCTACCCAGAGCTAAATCAAATCATACTCATTTGATAAATGGGGACAAATTAACCACTTAATTTTGGCTGTTGGAATTATTTAGTTTCTACAATTCAGAGCTCATTCAGGTTCCGTCTTCAAAAGGGACCCACTCAGTATAGTGCTCCTAGCACAGGGATCTGCATACATATGCTAGGCACTCAATTCATGCTTTCACTGACTTTCAGACCCCTGACTCAAATATTTCATTCTAATAGGTAACAGGCAATTCTAGACCTTCCCAGAACGTATCCCTGGGGCAAGTGTAGTGGAAATGGCTACATGGGGCTACAGCTGAGGACACCACCTCCAGGACTGACCATGTCACTCTCCTCCATTAGACACATTTACTGAACACCAACTGCGCATCATTGACTGTGCCAGGCACTTAGGATACAGCAGGGGAAAAGACCAGGTCCCTGTCCTCACAAGACATAGCATCTTCCAGGGAAACAGTAAATAAATGAGTCATTATCCAAATGCTAAGGCTCAAAAACTGGAAGGTACAGGCAACAATAAAGACACATAGCAGGGAAGCATCCAGCTACCTCTGCTTATAATGTGACTCCCCAACAAGTTTGCTTAGGAGAGAGGTCATATTTTTCTTCCCTAGTTAAGAAATTGACCTTCTAATTTATTTATAAAGTAGCCCTTGTGAATTAGTTTAATATAAGTCAATCTGCTGTGTATATAAAAAAAATTTTTGAGCCCGCAAAGCCAAGGGCCAGACCCTATAGTCTTGTCTAGGTGCTAGCCAATTTCCCATCTTGTATTGAATTTATACCTTTTCCAAAACATACTTCAGAACCTTTAAATCTTCTCATTTAGGCTGACTGCCAGGTCCTACATGCAAGAGGCATTTCCATTCACTTTCTCCTTCACCAAGTGTTCACTGAGTCTTAGAACGTGCCAGTTCTGTGACAAGAGCTGGTGAATGAAATGGACACAGGTCCTCTCACCATCACAGACATCAAAGAGACAAGCAAGCAGGCACCTGCCACCCAGCACGGCACAGGGCTATGAGAACGAAGTATGGGCTGCTACAGGACCTGTGTGTGTACGTGTGCATGTATGTGTAAGGAAAGACTTATCAGAGGAATACACAAAGACAAGACCTCAAGGATAATTAGGAATCAGCCAGTGGAGTGTGTGGGGCAGGGAGGGTGTGCACGAGGGAGCAGTATGTGTAAAGGAGAGGCCTGGAGATGAAGGGGAGGAACTGAAACTAGATGAGGCAGGAGAGGAAAGTTGGGGCCAGTCACAGAGGGCCTTGCAAGCACCGTATTACTGAGGCTGAACTTTATCCTTAGGGCTATGGGATATCCTTAACGGATTTTTAAGGGGCCAGTGGGGTATGTGGGAGATATCTTCAGATCTGCATTTTACAAAGAGCACTCAGTAAGTGCTTGTCAACTGACTCGGAGCGAACTTTTATACAATATTCAAATGGTATGTCTTAATTTATCTTTTTATAAATCAGCTCATAGGTTATCCTAAGACATAGCTGACAAATCAGAGTTACAGGAAACACTGAGAAAGCAGCAGCCGCTTTTAGCAGACTCCCACTCTGGAGTGCCAACGAAGCTGAGAAGCAGCCCAAGCCCCTGCACTGTCCTCATCCCAGGGCCAAGGCCCAGGCTTCTGCCTGTCCTACTCTGTGGGAAGCGGCTGCCCTCTACCTTTTATCAGGGCTCTTGAGCACCTCCTGCTGAGTAGGTGTGGGAAGGCTGCTCTGCAGAGCACAGCAAGAATGCAGCCAATTCTCTCAAGGCCACCACCAACCAGTAAACCAAACCACTGAGGAGGAGGATGACACTTGGAACTTGCTTTAAAAGAACTTGGAACTTTAAAGAAAACCCTGGACTTTCAATGGGTTTCTTTCTGTACACTCTGCCCCCCAAAATTCTTTCTCTGCCCTCCAACATCAAGGACCCAAAACTAAGCACTGTGGTACAACTGTGAAGGAGTTAGGAGTAAAGAGGATGAGATTTGGGAGACAATAAACGAAACAAGGGCAAGGGAAAGGGAGAAGAGAGGGAAAGCTTCTCTCGTGGACCCACAGAAACCAAATGAGTCCACACTCTCCCTTTGGGAGCTACTTTTTAAACTAATCTGAGAGTGGCCAGATCCCAACCCAATAAAGTGAGGCAAAAAAGGATCCTACTCTCCCCAACAAGAGAAGGAAAGGGGGCAAATTTAAAAAGAATGATACGTAGCACAGTGGTGCATGCCTAGCTACTTGGGAGGCTGAGGCAGGAAGACTGCTTGAGGCCAGGAGTTACAGTCCAGCCTAGGCAACAGAGCAAGACCCCATGTCTTTAAAAAAAAAATTAATTAA